GTCTCATTAATGCTTGTAAATATCTAAAGGGGAATGTCAGGGACATTCGGATGGGACCAGACTCTGCTCAGTTATGCCCAGCGACAGGGCAAGGAGCAATGGTTACAAGCTAGTTCACAGGAGATTCAATTTAAACAAGGAAAAACTTTACTGTGAGAGTACCAGAGCACTGGACCAGGATGCCCAGAGATGTTGCAGAGCCTCCTTCTCTGGAGATATTCAGACCCCTCCTGGTCGTGTTCCTGTGTGACCTACTCTAGGTGATCCTGCTCTAGCAGACAGTTGGACTTCAGATGTCCCTTCCAATCCCGATCATGATGCCATTCCATGATTCATACAAAGCCTGTCGTCGTCTCATCTATCTGTCCGTAGGTTACGAGGGCACTGGGTCAGTCTTGATGTCCCCTGTTCCCCATCAGATGTTGCCCTACATGAACGTGGGCACCTTGTCCCGGACGGAGCTGCAGTTACTGAACCAGCTGCACTGCAGGCGAAAACGGCGGCACCGGACCATCTTCACTGACGAGCAGCTGGAAGCGCTGGAAAACCTCTTCCAGGAGACGAAATACCCAGACGTGGGCACCAGGGAACAGCTGGCCAGAAGGGTGCACTTAAGAGAGGAAAAAGTGGAGGTATTTTGCTTTCTTTCCTCCTCCTTTCCACATTCCTCCCTTTCTCCTTTAAACGAGCTTGGTGCGGCGAGTTGATGGCGGGGAGCGCAAGCAGGAGGGAGAGAGGGAAAGTTTATTATTTTTGTTTATTATTAATTTTTATTATAATTTCTAAGCGCCTTTTTGGGGGCGGCTGGCCGAGCCGATCACACGGCTGCGGGCAAATGCCGAGAAGCGATCGTGCCTCCAGGCAGCTTTCCCTCCGCCTCCTCGCCGCGGCTGCCAGGGCTTGGGCACGGCGGAGGCCAGTCCGTCGGGATTGCCTATTTTGATAGTTTTCCCTAATAATTTCATTTCTTAACCTAACAGGTTTGGTTCAAAAACCGCCGGGCGAAGTGGAGAAGGCAAAAGCGATCGTCTTCGGAGGAGTCGGAAAACGCACAAAAATGGAATAAAGCGTCTAAAACCTCCCCGGAGAAGAGACAAGAGGACGGGAAAAGTGACTTGGACTCCGACAGCTGATACCTCGCGGGGGGGGCGGGATATTTCCCGTGAACTGTCGGATGCACTCCAGAGGATGCTACTAAATCTTGCACAAGCTCTGCCTTGTTGGAGGGGGAAAATATCTGTATATAATGTACAATGCCCCGAACCGAGTCCGTGTAAATAAAATGTGTTGCGGAGGTGTTGCACAGGCAGACGGCGGCGCGTTTGTTCCCCTCTGTGCTGGGGTGAGAAGGGAAAGGAGAGGAGAGCGGCGGGGACCCGGGACCTGGGGGCGGCCTTGCCGGCGCAGTTCCTCATTTAACCAGGTTTCGCGTAGTTTGGGAGGTTTGAGGCGATGGCGGATCTTTCACCCTGGAGGAAAGCGGCGGAGGCTCGGCCGGGACGGTCCCATCTCCGCCGGCAGCGCCCAGAGCAGCCGGGCTGGAGTGGGGTGCGGCCGGGAGCAAACCTCGTTCCTCCTCCCGGAGCTCCTCGCCAGGCCCATCCCGACCTGTTCTCCCTCACGGCCAAACGCTTCTCCTCTCCGCAGCCCCTGTCCGGTCCAGCTGGAGGCGATGCTCTTAGCAAATACTTGCAGCCAAAGCAAATCCGGCCTCGCACTTGTTGCTCTGTCCCGTTTCCCTGCGCTTTTCTCTTCCATTTCTCTCTGGAGTTGTGCCCTGTTGAGTCTCCAAAGCATTTGTCTTTGATCCCCGTTTAGAAAAGCTATCTTGCTACATCCGTATTTAAAATCGTGATGAATAAATTTTGGCCATGATCGGGTGAATTACGAGTAAGGCTCGTACACGAGGGCTCATACCTAGGAATGTTTCACAAGAAGTTGCTACTGAAAGTTTTCTCTCTTTTGAGGAAGAAACTTTGCAATTAAGAAAGCAGTGACAGCTTGGTCTCATTTTACCCTTTCCTCTATGAGGGCCTCGTAAAAGAGACGTCTGTTCCTCCTGTAACATTCCCATTAATTTTCCTTATGCTTTTTTTTCCCTGTGAGTCCCCATCTCTTAGTGCTCATCCCTTCAGAGCAGAATGGCCACAGTTTCCCCATGTTTAGAAAGACCTCTTCCTCTCCATGTCTACAAAGACTGTCTATAAATTTAAAACAAATGACCTGAAGGTGCAAAGCCAGTGCAGATAACCTCTGGCTGGAAATCTTCATGCCGTGCCTTCCATTCAGAAGTTAAGTGGTCATGAGCTGATTTTCCTTTATTATGGCCAATGCCTAAGCTCATCTGTGTCTGTTCAGCTCATCCAGCTTAGACAATAAATTGGTTTATACAAATGTGCTCACCATTGCTTCCAGTGACACCAGAAAGGGTCAGCTGCTGTGTTGCTTGTCCTTGTGCTTTTCCTCCCTTTCCTGATGTATCCAGCTGTTTATTATTATTATATTTATTATTATACATGGTGCGTTTTGCAGGTGTTAGTGTGACAGAGTGAATCTCAGTACCTGTCAGATAACATTTCTTAATACACCCGTGTTTCCACATAGAAGTGGTATCTCTCTCTGAACCATCTCTCCCCATACCGAAATGTAGGAACAGCCACTGTGGCAGAAATTAAGTGTGGTTTTGTATGAGTCACTTCTTTAGGGGGCTTATGGTTTCATAGCTACTGCTCTCTTCAAGAGAAGAAGAAATTTAGCCTCTTGTTCCTTAGGGCAGCAGCGAAGGAATGGGAGAAGCAAATGGATTCTTCTTGGGTATCGCAGTTTGGCTCTACAGAGATCTTGCATTTTGGGGATTCTACCCTATTGCTACAGATGTACATCTGATCTCTGTAAACTGTATTGAACTGCAATCCAGCAGCACTAAAAATCAGGTTTTGAATTACTGAAAATTAGTTTTCAAAAGAAGCATTTTGTTATGCTATATTCAGGAAGTCTCAGTGAGTGGATTTTTAATGTAATCTCCTCTGTATTTAGACATTGTTAGGTTTTAAAGTGCATGAATTTGCAAATAAAAGCCAGGTCTAAGGAGAATACGGCCCAGGATTTTGAAAATGCTTATATATTGTCTTTACTTCCCATGTATAACTATCCTTACTGCCACACCGGGAGATTGGCAGGGCTTTGTTTTATTTTGTTTTGCATTTGTGTGTGTGGGTTAGTAATTTTGGAATTCGTTATTAAGGACTTTATCCTGCATAGTTGAATGTGGGAATTAAACTGGATCTGTAAGAGGTGGGCTTTGAATATGTATTTTAATAACCAATAGTAGTTACTTGAGGTTGTAGTCCATATCTTTAGAGATTTTCAGACTTCTCCAATGGGAGCAAGGTGCTCGAAAACCGCGGAAGCACCGAACGTGCCAAATTATGGATAAATTTAGAACATTTTGTTTTGTGGAAACATGCGATATGATGTATGAATCAAAACCTTGTGTTCCAAAACACATTTTCTATGCATGGGATTGCTTTAAATTGACATTGTACCTTAGTCTGAGTTATTTTTTGAGTTTTCTATAAACTCTTGATTACCGTAAGCTTGATTGTGCAGTCACAGTTATCTATTCTTATTACTGTATTTAGACATAGACCTATTAGAGTTAATAATACCAGTTTAAAATCTAATTGAAGATAAATTTTAATCTTGACCTAAAAGCTTTACCTTACTTGTGCCATCAGACAGTAGGAGAACTGTCTCATTCTTTTTCTCACTAGTGTTTTCTGAAAACCTAAAGGCTTTGTTCTACCTATTTTGCACTACATAATTGATCCCATGCAGTATGAAAGAGCCTGACAACCGAAAAGTAGTGAGAATATTGCATCAAAAGCTTCAAGAAAGTAGAAAACTGAATGATTGAAAACACAAGGATGATTGTAATAAGATCTTTAATTCACTTGTACTGTTTGGTTGGCATAATCTGCCTCTAGATGTTTGTCTGGATTTTTATTTTAGGAGAATTCCTCCATGCCAAACTGCAAATGCCACATAACAACTTTCATTATTTTCTGTTTCTGCTGGTGCAGTAGGAGCAGAGCAAAGTGAGGGACCTGAATACGAGCTATGTTCCAGCAGGTTCAGTTCTAACAAAGAGGCTTTCAAAGAGCTGGTTGTGGTGGTGTTTGTTAACACTTTTCCAAGAAGGAGACCAAAAAAAGCTTTTATTTTCACTTTTTTTTGGTTTTGCTTTGTTTTGTCTGCGTCTCCTTCACTGCAATTTACAACCTTGCATCTTGGTGCAAACCCATTCTCAGATTTAATATGACTGAAAAACCTTCTTAGAGATTTTGGAAACATGATGTATGGTTCATGGTACTGATGTACTATCTAGGTTTTTGCAAGACGAGTTCAGCTTCTTTCTGTCCCACCAATTTTCTATGAAATGTTGGATTTTTCTTTCTAAATTTCTGCCTGTAGAATGAATATCATAGAATACCAGGTTGGAAGGGACCTCAAGGATCATCTAGTCCAACCTCAAAAGGTTGAAAGGAAATAATATTCCTTTCAGATCTCACAGGGGAGGTAGGGTGAAGGGAGGATTATAAGAAGAAACATAAGCTACTTCAGAGGTTCACCATTATAACAAAGATTTATTCCAGATAATGCTATGCATTATAGGAGTAATAATTGAATAATTATACAAAAGGAGCACACATCAAATAAATTCTCCTGCCACGAAGCTGGTTTAGGTTATGAAATTCTCTTGCAAGCGAAAGCTAAGGAGAGTAATGTGTAGTAAGGGTACAATGGGGAAGCCTTTTGTTGTATATCTTCATTGTGCCATCTGCATTTAGATGCCCAAAATTTATGTTTCTATTTAGTACCATATTTACTATACTTATTTCTGTAGTCTTGTTGTAATAAGTAATGCTGGAAAGCAGAGGTCAGATTTTTTTGCTTGACATAAAGTGATTTACTATCAGCTGAAAATCCGGACTCTTTTTTTTTCCCTTTCAGTTTTGCTAATACTTGAGTGAACTGGTTTTGCGCTTTACCATAATGGGATCCTGGGAATATAAACCATGCAAACTCTTTCTTACACATGACTTGTGAAGCAAACATTTGGATTAGTGGAAGTTATAAAAAAAATGCAACATTAAGGTGAGTTCATATTTTCTGTGCTCCATCTGCATTTATTGGTTCTCTGGGGTTGTACACCATACAGCACAAATGTACAAAAACCTAAAGACTTTTTGTTTTGTATTCTACCCCCATAGGGTTTCATTCCATTTATACTTTATGTTTTCCTACTTTGGAGACCTGGTGAGTCTTGACTAAACCTAGACAGGGAAATTTAGTCAAATTACTCTGTTTCTCTGGGGTTCTTTGGTTAGAGTCTGTTACAGAAAGGTAACAGTTGTAGCTGCAATATGTTAGGTTTTAAGCAATTAATACAACCTTCAGTATAACCCATCTCTGTAAAATGTCTGACAACTTTAAATGTAGAAACCTGTGTTGCAATATTCTGGTTTGTACTGAAGGTATCCAAAGCTGGAGAATTCAGATGTAAATTAAAAAAAATTAAAAAAGGAATCAGACTTCTTTCACTCTTTGTTTTCAGGATAGAATAGATGTCTACAGACAGAGACTATATCCTTCAGGGCATACGACAAAAGTTAAGGCACAACTTAATGGGATAATACAGAGCAGGAGAAAGGCCAGGAAACTTCTTGTAACTTAGAAGTACCTGTACAGTTCAGTGTTGAAAGTTACTTCGTCTCTGACTTTTAAACGATGTCTGAATACTGCTGTTTGCATTTCTTGTCTACTGCTTGTCCAGACAGACATGCATACTTACCTTGGAGGTTTGGAGCTTCACCTCATTAGTACACCCCAAAACACGACAAATACATGTGCCAATGTAGAATTTATATTTGTCCCTTTGCATTCTGTCAAGGCAAAGGGCCTTCCTCCAAACTCTCAACTAAGCATTGAATCCCCACCAGACTCTGCTTGTGTTTATTTATATAAGTACAATAATAATAACTCTTTATGCTTTTCTGTCTTTGAGGGGATTTATTCAGTGTTTGCTACCCAATGACTGCAGAGTGCTTTGCCAATGTGAGTTGGGTTTTCACCTTGACTACACCCCAGCAAAAGAGATAAATTTGGTGTATGGAGCCCTCTTCCTCTGGGCTTCTGCTTCACTTTCTGCTCAAGGTGGGTGGACTTGTAGACATGGCAGAATTAATACTTTCTTTTCCTAGAAAAAATATGAGGAATTAGGAGGTAGATTCTGATGGCGTCATTTCA